CTTAACACACAATTTCTTCCTATTTAATAAGAGGTTCCACCACCAAGTGAGAGGTACAGCGATGGGCACAGCTTGTGCTCCATCGTATGCCAACCTCCATCTTGGTTGGTGGGAAGAACAAATCAGGACCATCGACACATTGTTACCTTTTATGTCCAAGATTACATCATGGTATAGATACATCGATGATGTCTTGATTATTTGGCAGGGAAATGCTGATGAATTCAATAAATTTGTGGCCCTCCTCAATACCAACGAGGATAACCTAAGGTTTACCTCTGAATTTGGGGGCCAGTCTCTGAACTTTTTAGACCTCACCATTTCGATCTCCGGAGATGGTTCCATGAAAACCACTCTCTTTAGGAAACCATCCGCATCTAACTCTCTTCTTAAGTGGGATAGTCACCACCCTAGGCCTCTCAAACAAGGTATTCCAACTGGTCAGTACCTCAGGCTCAGACGGAATTGCTCTGACCTGGGGGATTTCCAAACCAAGGCCAAATCCCTGCGTCAACAATTTAAAGAAAAAGGCTACCCAAATAAATGTTTAAAAAGAGCCTATAAAAGAGCACTGATGACGGACAGGGAAGACCTTTTGTCCGATACATCCGATGCTAGCTCTAGCACCAATAAAACCATCAGGATGATCGGAACATTTGATACCGGTTGGAATGAAATAAAGGAATCTTTTCAAAAATATTGGCCTATTCTCCTTAGAGACCCACATTTGAAAGAAGTACTTGGCCCACGGGTCACTATCACAGCTAGGAGGGGTAAAAACCTCCGTGATTTGCTGTCCCCCAGCCATTACTCATGTAAACAGAGTCTACAGCCTTCATGGCTGGGACGTCAAATCCCAGTGGGTACATTCCAGTGTGGTAAATGCGTAGCGTGCAAATTTATCCTAAGGGATTCTAAGAAAGTAGGAGACAGTGAGGGAAAACATGTCTTTCAAATCTCCCATTTCTTTAACTGTAACTCGGTAGGAGTGGTTTACCTCCTCACGTGCAGCTGTAGAATGATGTACGTGGGGAAGACGTTTAGACCCTTCAAGGAGCGCATAAAAGAACATGTGAGATGTACCAGAAACCGGGTAGAGACCCCTATCTCCAGACACCTTAAAGAACACCATGATGGTTCATCTAGAAACATACGCTTCTGTGGTCTTGAGTTGGTCAAACGTGAGCCCAGACGAGGAGACTTCGACAAAATTTTACGTCAAAAGGAATGCAGATGGATTTACAAACTCAACACCCTCTATCCTAAAGGACTTAATGAGGGCTTTTCATTTTCCCCTTTCATTTGAAACAATGTGATTGTCTACTTGAAGTATATATAAGTATGTGGAATAAGACTTTATCTGTCTATTCCCTCTGAGTTAGTATCTAATTGGGAGTATGTACCTGCTACCATTTTGCCGCATACTCTATCAATTTCTATCAAGTGAATTCACCTTTTCACTTGATACACTTATCCTGTCTCAATGTCGCCGGTCATGGTTGGGTGACGTTTAATTTTTGATGTGATATCATTAAGTACTTTATTCATTTTCGCTCATACCGCTCTCCTTCCGTTTGCTCTGGTGCCTGCCTTAATTGTTAATTTAATGCCCACATTTTTCGGGTAAATACATTATAATTGTGATCACTGTTTTTATTCATCAACATAACTATATAATATCTCCACTTGTCTCTCTAATCAGGATATTAATCTCAATAAAAGGAGACAAATTGTTTCTAGCTATGTGTCTATGGTTTATACTTTTCTCCAATAGGCAGTAATGAACATTAATATGGGAGGGACCATTGTATTCTTTTAGGTACTGTCTTATATTTAGAACAGTATCTCTGCCCCCCGTTTTATACCAATGTTCTGTTTATCATATACTGCTATTTATTTTTAAAATGTAACCATAATTTCACAGTGTTCGTTTTGCCAGATCACAATATGAACGGAGCTTTAACACGCCCCCTGTACTTGCCATCTGACAAATGGGAAACCAACAGGTGCGGTATATTCAAGGGGCGGTTCTAAGCCCACAGACCCGCGGCAGGCACTTACCACATACCCCACGTGGTCCGGAGCCTGACCACGCCTCCCTTTCACCTCCGGGTCCCCCATTGGCTAATGAGATACACTGGGAGGAACTAATGTTATGAACCCGGTAAGGGTGACGTTCGGGATGGCGATTGGCTGCTAGGATGTGAGGGGCGGGACCTACTTACCCCTTTTAACACGGACATCCACACAGACACTTTTCAGCTCTTGACAAAGGCGGTTAGTCACGCCGAAACGCGCGTCGAGCAAATTAGCAATGCCGATGCATTCACTTTGAGTTTCTTTTGTGTTTTTTTATTTTATTTTTCTCACTTAACTAGACATCCTCTTTGTTCCTTTCATGACCATTTAGGGTCTATTTAGGCAGATGGGAGCTGGGGTATTAGGGATAACCTTTAGGCTGCCTTGAAGCAGCAGATAGTTATTTCTATCTCCCTGGTAATTTGGGAGTCAGCTAGCAGTTCAGGGCCAGCTGGGGTATTTTTTTGGTGCATTTTGATGTTTTTGGCAGCAAATATTCTTGGCTATTAGCCTTACATTCATATTATTCATACTGCACTCTGTTGATACATTTACCCTTATTTGCAACAGTCTCACCACGTCTAGGGACACGTTTACTATCAGGGTATCCTTTTTCAATTAACCCTATATTTACCCCTCTTTCCCCCCCCCCCTCCCCCCCTCTCTCCCCTCTCTGCCTCTTTATAAAGTCCTGGATAAATCTGTTGTGTATACATAATACCTTTTGTTCGGTTCTTTCTATAACAGTGTTTTCTATGCCAGGCAACTTATAGAACTTACAATGAGGATTTTTTCTAGTTAGCTTTTGTGAATACTTTTCTCACTCACTTTAAATATCCCTCAGGGGAACCCTTCTCTGGCAATTTTTTATAGCCAGTTATATATATAATTTTTATATCTATGTCTTTTTCTATTAAAGGTCTTAGTACCCGTTATATATAGTACATATATTTTCGTGAGGTATAGATTTATGAATGAACAGGTGTTCCACCTTTGTATTGTATTCTGGTGGTCTTCCAGTTCATTCTTCTCTTTTTTCATATTCAAATTTCACCCAGATCAGTTCAGGGGTTCTCAAAAAGTGTGGAAGCCTTAGTTCACCGACCGCACACGAGGCTCCTGCCTTAAACAGTTCCACGAATTCAGTGTGCGCGGTCGGTCAATTCAGAAAACAGCCTAAAAACAAATAAAAGCATGAATGGAGCCTCCTGGCTCATTGTTCCCCGTGTTCGTATGAATCAAACTACCGAATGGTGCTCTCCTAGCTGTTCAGCAACAAAAGGAAGCAGACGTTCGTATGTTTCAGCGGTGTTCGGTAAGTCGAGTGTCCCATTTTAGTTCCAGACACTCGACAACCAAGTCCCGCTGCCTCCTTTCGTGCAAGCAAGATGGCCGCCGTTTTCTCTTCCACGTGGCATTCGACTATATTAAGCTACCGAACCAATAAATCCAAAATAACTAAATACAGTAGAAAGTCACGAATTAAAGAAGAAAATACCGAACATAAGTCTATTTTCTTCACACACAGAATTGCCAAATTACTAATATACCCAGTGGAAGAATGTTACACTGTATACCAGTTTAAATAAAAAGTATACACACATAGTCAGGATTCAGCTGTAAGCATTTGCAACACTTACAACAATCAAGTAACACGTTCATAGAAAATGTAAGTTACTTAGCTAGTCAATGGATGAGAATGAGCTATCTACCAAAAGTATTAGGGAGCTATCTACCAAAAGGCTGAAAGACCAATTTAGATTACTTAGATTACCAAAGATTACTTAGTATTAGTAAATTCTGCCCCAACTCGCTATACCGTGAGTAGGGACATGTCTAGTAAACTGTGGCTGCTCACTGTTAAAAAAAATAAAATAAACCTAAGTGTCCCCCCTCCCGATCCCCCACCTGTGCTGTGCGAGTGGGTGCTTTTAAACTGAAGGGGGGACCTATTGCCCCAATGTGGCCCCCACCCCTGAGCGGCGGCTGGGGCCCTGGATAACAATGAGGTGAACCTATCGTGTCTCCCTTGGCCCCCACCCCAGAGCGGCGGGTGGGTGCCCTAAATCAGAATAAGGGGGGAACATATTGTCCTCCCCCCAGTCCCCACCCCTGAGTGGTGGGTGGGGGTCCTAAATTAGAATAAGGGGGGTAACTATTGTCCTCCTCCCCGTCCCCCACCACTGAAAGGCGGGTGGGTGCCCTAAATCAGAATAAGAAGGGGACAACTATTGTCCTACCCCTCTGTCCCCCATCTCTGAGCGGCGGGTGGGGGCCCTAAATCAGAAAAATGGAGGAGGGGCCTGTTGGCCATAGGCTGCTCACTGTTTACTAGACATGCCCCTACTCGCAGTATAGTGAGAATTCGGAAGTTATCTACTAAGCGCCTGCAAGAGAACATATCCGAAGTGCCGAAGGTCCGAAGTGTCGAAGTGCCAAAGTCCCGAACTGAACCGAAGTACCGAAAGTACCGAATTTCAGAAGTGCCAAACTGAACCGAAGTGCTGAAGTTCCGAAATACTGAAGTCCCGAATTTATGAATGCCGAACCGAAGTGCTGAAGTTCCGAAGTTCCGAATTTCGGAATGCCGAACGGAATGTTTTGCCCGTGCACATTCCTAACCCACACCACTTCAACGAGCTGGGTGCCTATAGTGTCACTTTAATCGGCCCTTGTTAAACTGTACACTGTTTCAATCAGTATTAAAAATGTTAAGTTAGTAAATAGTCAATTGTAAACGGTTTGAAAAAGTGCTCAGCTTTACACAAGGGCTAAAACTTAAATCACTTCAAGAACTGAATTCAGCAACAGGCAGGCAGTCCCAGCCTTTAAGTGACTGCAGACATCCCAAGTCTCCCGGTAGGTCCAAGAGACTCCTGTATGTGTTGTGTGGCTCCCTGACACCCTCAAGTCAAACAATATCCTGGAAATCACACACACAATCTGATATACAATATATATCAGATTGTGTGTGTGATTTCCAGGCTATTATATATGCTAAATGCCCTCCATAAATTAATATAATTTCTGAGCAGGGGCCCGGTCGGATGCCTGGCCCTTTGAGAGCCTGATGGGCCCTGCAGTATCTGCCGGCTTGGAGGAAGTGAAAAACAGCCTCCCGGGAGGGAGGAGGCTGGAGAAAGCTAGAGCACACAGGCAGCGTGGAGGCAGAGAAGAAGCTGGAGTGAGCAGCTACATGTTCACTCTCATCAGCCTCAGCCAGGACACAAGGTAAGCTAAGGGTGGCTGCAAATTGTTATGCTCTGTGTGTGTGTCAGTGTATATCTGAGAGCAGGGCCGGCCTTAGGTGTTCAGGCGCCCTGTGCGAAACAATCTTGTGGCACAGTGTTAAGAACCTCAGTGGTTATGGTACTGAGTTCTTCTATTCCTTTCCCCCCTCACCTGTCTCTGTTTGGACCCCTTCAAACTATTTTAGGAGCATTTACAATCTGTTGCCTCCACCCCCTTCTACAAAACCACTGCACCTCTTAACCAAAATCCCTGGCCAGATCTTCACCAAGCCCCTGGCCACCACTTCATCAAACTCCTGGCCACCCCTTCCCCTTCATCAATGCCCTGGCCATCCCTTCGTCAAACTCCTAGCCACCCCTTACCCTTCATCAATCCCCTCCCACCCCTTTATCAATTCCTGCCACCCCTTCATCAGTCCCCTGCCCCTCTCATCAATTCCCTCCCACCCTTTACTCAGCCCTCTGCCCCATTCATCAGTCCCCTGACCCCCTCACCAATCCCCTCCCCCTTTTATCAGCCCCCTGACCCCCTCATCAGTACCCTCCCACCCCTATCACCCACCTGCCCCCCTTTAATCAGTCCCATGCCCCCCTTTTCAACCCCCTGCTCCCCTTCATCAGCCCCCTTAATACATCCCATGCCAAATAATCCAACCCCTGGCCACCCCTTCATCAGTCCCCTGCCCCCTCATCAATTCCCTCCCACCTATTTATCAGCCATCTGCCCCCATTTCATCAGCCCCCTGATCTCCTCATCAATCCCCTCCCACTCCTTTATCAACCACCTGCCCCCTTTAATCAGCCCCATGCCCCCCTTTTCAGTTTCCTGCCACCCTTTATCAGCCCCCTTAATAAATCCCCTGCCAATTAATGCAATCCATGCCACCCCTTCATCAATCCCCTGCCCCCCTTAATTAAATTCCTGCACCTCTTCAACAAAACCTATTTAATAAAAAAGAAAAAAAAAGCCACTCACAGTAAAGGCTGCTGCTCCCTGGACTGAGCTGTCTCCGCCGATTGAAGAGCACCGGGTGCCGCCTTCACTCACTGAATTGGATCCTTCCGCGGCTCCCTCTGATGACAGAGCACGCCGACGTTACGCAAGTACGCGGCATAACGCCCCCACGCTCCTCCTCCACCCTCCATACAGAAGTGGATTCCCGGCGGCGGCTCTCTGCTCATAATTTGCAAGTCAAGTGCAAAGCAGTATTATGCACTTGACTTGCACTTTAAATACAGAACTCGGCCGGCCTGCGAGCTGTGTTGGCCGCACGGCGCCCCTGTTGCCATGGCGCCCTGTGCGGCCGCACAGCTCGCACACCCCTAAGGCCGGCCCTGTCTGAGAGTGTGTGTGTTTTTGTGTGTGTGTAAGTGTATGTGTGTAAGTGTATCTGTGTAAGTGTATGTATCTGTGTGTATCTGACTGAGTGTATGTGCCAGTGTGTGTATGTATCTAAGTGTGTGTATGTACCAGTAGTGTATCTAAGTGTGTGTATGTACAAGCAGCGGCGTACATACCGCGGTCGCCTCACTCCAGGGGACCCGGCCGCCAAGCGGACCCCTGCGACCGGGTACCCGCCACCATCTTTTGTGGCCCTGGCCCGCGCGGCAAACCGCCGGGGCCGCCGTCCAAGGGGGCCATCTGGTGGCCCACAGATCAGTTTCGTACTGGGGCCCCCATGGATTGTGTGTATGCCACTGTGTACCAGTGTGTGTATTTGTGTGTGTGTGTGTGTGTATATCTGTGTGTCAGTGTGTATCTGAGTGAGTGTGTATGTGCCAGTGTGTGTATCTGTATGTATCTAAATGTGTGTATGAGCCAGTGAGTGAATTTGTGTGTATTTGAGTGTGTGTGTATCTGTATGTCAGTGTGTATCTAAGTGTGTGTGCCAGTGTGTGTATCTGAGTGTTTGTGTATGTGCCAGTGTGTGTATCTGTGTATGTATGTGACAGTGTGTGTGTATCTGTATGTCAGTGTGTATCTAAGTGTGTGTGCCAGTGTGTGTATCTGAGTGTTTGTGTATGTGCCAGTGTGTGTATCTGTGTATGTATGTGACAGTGTGTGTATGTGTCAGTGTCCATATCTGTGTGTCAAGGTATGTGCATGAGTCCGTGTGTTAATAGTGTGTGTAAATAATGGTAATATGTAAATAGTTGCGTTCTGTCATAATAAAATATCATGTCATTGTTTATACATGTTTGGTGGTTGTGTCCGTTTTGGGATGCGCATGTTTTTGTGTGTACGTGTGCGTGTCAGTGCGTGCGTGGGGTGTGGAGTTGCTGATAAAGCCACCTCCAAGAAATGAGTTTTTGTATGTAGGGATGTCTGTGACTGTCTTTCTGAGTCTGACACACTAGAGTACCCATAAAAAAAAGAGACACTATAAGCACCAATTCTTTGTTTTACCTTAATAGAGCAGCTTTGGTGTATAGGAGTTAAATCACTTTGTTTAAACTAACCTACTAACACCTCCCTTCCTAAATACATCCTGTAGAGAGACATCTAATGTTTATACTTCCTTTATTGCACAGTCGGTTTAAATTAGAATATCTTCATTTAACAGAGCAGGAGCTAAAAACTTTTGAAGTAAACACACACTGAAAATGTATGCATTTTTTTCATGTTGGCTGTATGAGTCACAGCAACAAAAGTGATTTAACTCATTAATGGCAGAGAATCAATCAATAAGACTGAAGGGGCATGCTCTATACACCAAAACTTCTTCTTTAAAGGGATACTATAGTGTTAGGAATACAAATCTGTATTCATAGCACTATAGTTCGCTTGTGCCCCCTCCCTCATCCCTCAGCGCTGCAAGGGTTAAAAAAAACTCTTGTAACATTTACCTGATTTCAACACCCATCTCCCTTGACGATGGGCCTGTACTCCGACCTCTGACGTTATCCAACAGGGGGAGTAATGCGCATATCCGGTTAGCGCCATGAGCGCATAAGCCCTTCCCAAAGGAAAGCATTGACTCGATTTCCTATGGAGATTTAACCGACACTGGATATCCTCATGTAGAACGTGAAATGCATTTCACAGGAATGGTGCACCACAATTCCTTTTTGTCTTTACTATGAAAGTTTGGAATCCAGACCAGATACTTTTTAAGGTTAAGCACCCTGCCCAGCCCCCCCAGCTTCAGAGATCTCTTTGGAGGTGACCACAGGTATATTTGAGGAGGTTTTGGATAGTAATGTCACTTTAATTATAATTTTCATAGAGCAGATATATGATATGCATTGCGAGTATATACATCAAAGCATAAGGTTGCTTTTATCACATTGTATATGTTCACAAGGCTCTTACAATAGATTATTTAAATACACTTCATCTTATTTAACTAGCACTATATAATTTGTCTCCCTCGCTGGAATTAGTGTAGGACCCACTGATATTGGAGTACTGTGAAGTAGTGGTTGGATTAACACAATATGGCCATATGGTGGAACTGAATGCCCATATTCGTTTGCTGAGATAGGTGATTTTAAGTAGCCTTATAAAATGTAAAAATTAAATTTTATGTGTGTGCTGTTCCTTAGTCTGTATTAGTTTGTATGTTATGCCATGTTATGTATAATTTCCCCTGTATGAGAAATACATCCTTAGTCAACGCAGAAAAAAAAAAAAAAGAAAGAAATTATGTCAGAAAATGGCTTCAACTTACATGTAATTTTCATCCATCATTTCATTGGTAACTGAAAATGAGTTGAAAAGGTTAGCTATTAACATAATTATAAAGCCTTTAAAGGATCACCCTCCACCCCCCAGTCCCATCAGAATGGGTTAAAACCCACCTTATTTTCAGCCGTCGGCCATGGCCCCGCCCCCTTGGTGACATCATCAGAACCGCAATTTTTTAGGGCCAAATGCCATTTTGGTCAATCAGCACCTCCTCATAGAGATGCATTGAATCAATGAATAAATGCAGAGCGTGGAGACGATGAACGGCAGGGCTGCCTACTGTGCAGCACTGAGCCAGGAAGCATCTCCAGTGGCCATCTGAGGAGTGGCCACTTGGAGGTTTCCCTAGGGGCAATGTAAACACTGCCTTTTTTCTAAAAATGCAGTGTTTGCATGAAAATGCCTGAAGGGGATGATTATACTCACCAGAACAAAGCTGTACTTGTTTTGGTGACTATAGTGTCCCTTTAATTCAAACTAATGAACATTATTTAAATGGACCATCATTGTTCCTTAAAGGTATACCCTAAGCACCAATACAAGTTAAACTTAATGAAGTGGTTTTGTTATGTAGATTATGCCACTGCAGTCTGACAGTTCAATTCTCTGCTGTTTAGGAGTTAAATCACTGTGTGCATGCAGCCCTAGCAACACTACTAAGACTACCTATATATTGCATCACAATTTCACCAAAATTCCAGCACAATTAAAAGCTACACATGAGACAAAATAAATATCCCATCTCATTAAGTAACGAGGTGGGATAATTAGAGTTCCATTCTAAGTTTGGGATTTCTTATTACCAGAGTAGAAGAAGTACTATACAAAGGCTAAATGGCCTCTATGATTTATTGTTAAACCATTATGCACTGTCACTCAAGAGGGTTATTGAATATTAAAACAATCACAGTATATATCTCCCCATGTTAATATCATGCTTACATCCTATAAGGTCATTGTGAAAAGTTGAATGGTTTTTCAGGAATGGTGCACTGCTAGTCCTATTTATTATAAAACTGAAAACTTGTTTTGAGATGAGCTTACAC